CCATCTGGATAATGGGACATGGTTACATTTTCTGGGCGCAGCAGTGTGCTTCTCGGAGGGTATATACGGAGAATCTTTATCTAAACCCAGATACGTTTTTTGTCTCCTGGGCAGGTCAGCGAGGTATGAGGTGGGGAGATTTGACTACCTGTTTAGTTCAGATGTATGATAAATGGCCTGCTCCTGACATATTGATTATACACCTGGGGGCTAACGACATTGGAAAGTGTAACACTGCTGAATTGCTTTTTCAGATCCCCCTCACACTTTGATAATTTTCTCTGAGATAGTTCCTCGGTTGCTATGGTTACTTTCCCCTGCATTTCGGCGCTTGGAAAAAATCAGAAGGCGCATCAACAGGTCGATGGAGAAGTTTATGCCCTTTGTGGGTGGCTTTTCTTATAGACATGTCGATCTTGAAGGTGGTGTTCACGGTATTTACCGAAATGATGCTGTTCATCTTTCGGATGTTGGTCTCGATATTTTCCAATCTTGGATTGCAGAATTGTTTATAAATGGCCGTGGTGGGGGTGCCAGGCTTTAGTTAAAGCCTGGCTTGTGGGGACATTTTAAAAGATGTTGACAAATGTTTATCATTATTGGTGTGCTTGGGCCTTTCTAGCCAAGTACTAGTTGAAGTTATGCTATTTACTTATTTATATATTTTAACGATTTTAAGATTATGAGTAAACCAATAAAAAATGCCACGGCCATTTCTTGCCACTTGGAGTGTGTTCGTTTTTATTTTAGTAATATAATACGTTTGTTTGGTTTGAATGTCGCTTGCTTTTCCATGACAGGGGAGAAAAACGACTTAGTGATTCCCCCCCATGGAAATGCAGCGACCATTTTGTGCTCTTTTTTCCCCCCTTTTGTTTCTTCCTCTGCTGTTTTCCCACTCTTTGTGCTCTATCCCAACAGGATTGGTCATGACAATATCCGGGCAGACTTACCTTAGTCTAGGCGGGAAAAGCTGCGGGTAGCAACAGCCCCTGATTGGCTGAAGAGGGTAATAAAAATATGGACCGTTGTGACCTTCTCACCTTTCTTCAGCTGACATCCAGAGGAGCTCTCCGCCCTCCCACCCTATACGTTTTGAGACATCTCTGTTGCGGCATTATTTTATGTGGTCCGTCACCTCCCTGAGGGGGACATTTTAAAAGATGGTGACAAATGTTTATCATTATTGGTGTGCTTGGGCCTTTCTAGCCAAGTACTAGTTGAAGTTATGCTATTTACTTATTTATATATTTTAAAGATTTTAATTTATGAGTAAACCAATAAAAAATGCCGCGGCCATTTCTTGCCACTTGGAGTGTGTTTGTTTTTATTTTAGTAATATAATAAGTTTGTTTGGTTTGAATGTCGCTTGCTTTTCCATGACTTGAAGCTGACCAAAGTAGTTGGCATCCATCATTTTTTTTTTACATATTTAATAAAATCAGACTTTACTTTGAAAATTTAAGGCAAAGTGACAGTAACTCCTGAGCAAGATACACTTACCAATCCACCTCCCTGCTGCAGGACTCCATCCTCAGTAAGCTTTAAATAGGTATCATCATAGCTCCCCCCTTCTTCATGTCACTGTGTCCAGGTCTGACGATTGGCCCACATACACAGAGGCCCTGGAGAGAGGGTTAAGGTGGCCATACACCTTACAACCATTGCACGACTTGCATTGTGCCATCGATTATTGCATGATCGCGGGATCACCCGTGATTATCATACGATAATCGTAAGGTACACGGGCAGCTTTAGGAAGAGCGCAAATCAGTGTGTGTAGCTTGTGGAGGGAGGCACTGCAGCTTTTATTAAAATAAGACCTGGTGATACTGCCATGAAGTTCTTTGTGCAAGCACTTCCTGTTTTAGGCTTCATGCACACGTTAAAACAGGAGACATTACCTGGGAAGTATAAACAACTTTTTCCTATTTTTAGATTTTCCTGGGAATAGTCATAGCACTTTTTCCCCCTCCTTTTGGGGGGAAAAAAGTGCGTCTTATGGAGCGAAAAATACGGTATATATATGTATACATATATACATACACACACACACACATACATACATACATACAGAGTAAAATATAATCCATATACCAATAATATTATATATTTATTTATATATACATCAGATTTGTGAATTGATATTCAAGTATCTGTCAGTGTAAAGGTCACAATGTATTAGAAAGCACGAGACCTTTTTAAAAAAACGCTGAGAAGTAAAGTCCCTGATACACAGTTGACTAGTTGCTATGGGCAGCAAATGAAATAAATATTCTCTATAACTAGACAACCAGGACATATAATTGATTCTATATTATCCACAAAGGGTTAACAGCACTCTCTCAACCCTGCAGCAGTGCCTGTACCTGCTCTCAATAGTAGTCTATGTCCGCCCTCTCTGTGCAGCAAGTAGCTTGTTCCTTCTGAGTAAACCTTTCAGGGAGAAAATGCCTCTCTCACGGACATCAGGGAGCTGCTGTCCAAAAGAAGGAGACTCCCTGAACATCAAGGAGACTTGAGATCCCTGTGTTTAGATGCATTTACATTAAACGATTCTGTGACACAGAAAATTCTTGTTTGTGCAAACACAGCTGGACTGAATGCAAAAGGTATGCTTGTAGCCATAGCAATTCATTACATGTTTCCAGGTATCTTTAGAAATGAGCTTCAAACCTTGGCGCAAGTATTTCATGACTGTGTGCATGAGGCTTTGGAACAGGGGTGGGCAAACTCTGGCCCTTCAGCCACACTCCCTACCACCCCAGAATCTGGCCGGAACGCACTGTGTCTGGTGTGAACGGGCCCTGAGGGCCCGTTCACACGACGTCCGTTTTGTGTGCTGACCGGCTCCGTACGCTGCTGCACTCAAAATGCATCCCAATGTATCCCTATGTGTTTTATGGGCTACAGTTCTCACGTGCGCAGTCTGTTCAGCTTACGACAGAAAAAATACTGCATGTCACATTTTGTCCGGTCCGGAAACGGTCCGGAAACGCACAAACGCGCACGAAACGCAACGAAAACGGAACGGAAACGCAACGCAACGCAATGCAGCTAAGGGGGGAAAAAAAGAAAAAATTGTATTCTTGCTCCACTTATTATGATGTCATCAACGTTGACAAAAAATTAACTGTCAGCATCCGGACCAAAAACGCATCAAAAACGCACTGCATCAGCAGCTCCACGTCTGCTGATCAGCACCTGATCAGGACCTGATCTCATGTGAACAGGCCCTTAACGTACATTAATTAGGAAAACTTCAGGTCCACCTCTGCTGATTAACAGCAGCAGTGGGCAGGTGCAATAGCCAGCCTGCTATTCACTATTGCAATTTGAAATGGCCAATAGCAGCCTAGCTATTCATCCCCCTGCTATCTGTTGTTTTATTTTTATTTTTCTCATCAAAATACGGGACAAAAACCCAGCAGATAACGGGATCCCGGAAAGATTTACTCTAAAGAGTAAACCTTTCTGGGATAAAATGTTTTTCTCTTCCTGGTGTCAGGGAGCTGCTATCATATTGGAGGAGACTCCTGGAACATCAGGGAGAGTTGGGATGTCTGTAACCCTGTCACAGAGACTCTGCTGAAGGAGAGACAGCCTGATTTGTGACAAATTCTGTCGCTAATTTCCTTGATAAATGTCCCCCATACTGTTTTAGCATTGTTATTCAGTTATGGTTTACATCTAAACCAAGAGAACAGAAAGTGAGAGAATTAGATTGGCAAGTAAGGGACCTTTCACACAGCGTTCTGATCAGTTTTTCAGGCAGATCTGATGGGAAGCTCAATGGGTATTAGGATGTATACGGACGTGCATCCATTTACATCTGATTAAACCTGGTCATACACCTTACAATTATCTTCAGATTTTCTATGGTCATATGGAAAATGTGCAATAGATTCCTCCATCTACGCTAAAGTGTGTGTATGGAGGAATCTCCAGCTGGGCCAAGCTTTAGTATTTTGCTAGTCGGCCCCTCTGGCTCTCAAAATACCTAAACAATACCTGCATTCAATTAGATTGTTCAGGTATTTTGACAGCTAGCGGGGCTGACTAGCAAGATACTGAAGCTTGGCCCAGTGGGAGATTCCTCCATCCACATAGTTTAGCGTAGATGGAGGAATCGGTTGCACTTTTTCCATCTGACCATAGAAAATCTGCAGATAATTGTAAGATCCTAATAGGTTGGACTTGATGGACTAATGTCTTTATTCAACCTCAAATACTATGTAACTATGTAACTATGTAAGGTGAATGGCCAGCTTAACACTGAATACGTCTAGGTCCACAAAAAAAAACAAAGAAAACAGAGCAGAGTTCCGGGATGGATTGGAGGTACTCTGATGTAAATGGCCACTTACATCTGACTCCCCATAGACCAAACATGGGTCTGATTTGGTTCAGTTTTTTCTTCTACCGTAAAATAGAGGAAAAAAACTGAATGGACAAGGATGTCAAAAACTTGACAGACACTCTTGTGACACCCTGTACTGCATTGATCAGCAGGGGATCACTGCACAGATTCCCTGCTGATTGGAATGGATGGCTCCCATGTGAAAGGGGTCTAAGGGCCCGTTTACATCAGCAGCAGGTGAGCTTTATGGTGCACATAACATGCGGGCACCCGTGCACTGTAACAGCTCATTGCAGTGTTTAAATTTTTCTGTTTTTGAGTTTTATTAAACGTTAGCAAAAAACACTTCATTCAACTCTATGTACAACTTCTGTGCCTTGTTGTGCAATACATCTCTATGTACAACTTCTGTGCTTTGTTGTGCAATACATAGACGTGCTTAATTTTTATGCACTGTACGCCAACACACTTAGTGAAAGAAGTGTAGCTCTAGTAAAAGACTGAAGTCCTTCATCTATAGTGTGTGCTTGTCAGAGGAGGAACCAGAGAGAGGGGGGAGGGGAATGGATACTGGTGATTGTGAGTGAGAGGGGAGAGGGGAGTGGGGAGGGAATTCTCAGGCTAGCATAAAAGCGTACACCATACTTCTGTGTTTTTACTTGAACAGTAACCAACAAGGAAACATATTCACCATACAGAAGATTTCAACAAGTAAGTATAATGATCTCCTTACTGGAAAGCTGCCTCTGCAGGGAATACATAGATGTGGTGTGCAAAGTGTGCTTGTTCCCCATCTGCTGTATAATCATGAACTCATTTACATCGCAAGAGAATGCATAATCCTATTTTAGTGCTAAATGTCCCCGACTTTGAGGGACACTCCCAGCTTATGGGGAATCCACCTTGAAAATGATCTGTTTTTCTACATCTTTACGGTCTATTGGAGTTAATAGCATTAAAGATGTGTATTGAACATGCATTCTAATTCATGTTTGTTTTTATGCCAGAAGGTAATTGCAAGGTGTGATATGATCATGACAGACCTAATCATACAGCTTCATAAAAAAAAAAAAACTTTTGGAAATTGTTTTTTAAGCTATGGCAGCGCTAAAGTAATTTTGCTGCAAGAAAGGTGAAAATGTTCTTGCTAACTGGTGAATGGTTGTGGGTTATAACCAGTACAAAACAGTCCATCTTGTATAAAGAGCAGTGATGCGCCGGGGCTTGGTGTGAGCCAAGTTCGCCAAAACTGCCCAATCAGTTGTGGCAGGAGCAATTTCACTGCACAGCTACATGTCACATAGGGGAAGGGAATACGCCTACTACAGCTTCCAGAACTGAGTGGGGGCATATTGGTCAAATTTTTCAGTGAGCTTGGGCAAACTCAGGTGAACTGGGTTCGCACCGAGCCCCAGCTCCTCCCTAGAGATGAGGCTGGGCTTGGTATGAATCCAGTTCTCCCAAGCCCACTCAAAACTGACCACCAATCAGTGGTGGCAGTTGCAGAGAGGGCATTCCCCACCCTGTGTGACGTATAGCTGTGGAGCGGGGAATGTGCCTCCCTACAATTGACTGGGTCGGAAGGAGAATGGTGGTGGTCAGAGTTTTGAGTGGGCTTGTACAAACTGGGTTCACACCAAGCCCCAGCTCATCACTAGATTCCGGAGCAGTGGTATTTCAGTCTATGCTTGCTGTGTCCAAATGCCAGATAATATGTACTGTAGTTCTGCTTATACTTTTGCTAGCTTCTGCTAACAAGTTTGTGATATTAAACCTTTGCTCTCTGCTCCAGAATTGTATGAAACCCGGTACAATTATTAGGTGGATTGCATTCTTTCTTGCTAGTCTGTTGGGACATGCAAATGTCCCCTTCCCCATTGTAGACTGGAATCATATCTGCACTGAACAGGTCATGTAACTGATTTCGCTGTATACAGTCTTCTGGAAGTACTGGTATTGTTGCAAGGGGTTTTGCCATCTAGTACTTCCCTGTTCTTTCCAGATATTTCATGCTCTGCCTTCTAACTACAGAACTCGCAACCACTGTCTTACAGGATATATAGATAATCAGTTGGAAATGTAATGACGAAAACATCCACCTTATACATTATTTTACTGGATTATTAAGTGTTTTTTTTTTGTTTTTTTGTTTTTTAAATAACTTTAGAAGTCTAAATACATAAGATCCTGACTAGTGATGTGTGGGGGGCTTTGTGTGAACTAAGGCTGCACAAAACAATCTTTGCCACACCCCCTTCCAGCCCAAACATTTGCAGCAGGGACATTTCCCACCTCGTTGTGATGTGTAGCTGAGGGACATGCCCTAGATGTGACTATTTTGGGCCTAGAGGTGGGTGTGTCAGTGACCGTTTGACATGGGCCCACACAAAGCCTGCTCCCATCATCATTTCTGGCATGCCACAAAATAGAGAAACCGTATGTATTTTTTTTTAGAAACGCTCTAAAGTTTTTTTTTTTTATTATTATTTAGGTAGAACTAAACTAATGAAGAGTGAGGTATGCATAGTACACCTGCATATTCCCTTTTCTCTCCCCCCCACCCCCTTTATTTCCACCTGGTAATCCTGAAAACACTTCCTGCACCTGGGTGGCTTCTACACTCAAGTCTCCACTGTATGTAGGGGCGCAGCCATGGTTGTCACACATGCTGGTCATAAAACATATATGCCCTTGTTCACCTTCATCACATAGTAGTTGATGGGTTTAGAAGTTTACACAATAAAGATCAAGTTCTTTTTGCTTTTCAGCTCAAGGGACATGACAAGGGCACAACATTTTTGGCAAGAATAACAGGTATTTTTCTGACTTGCTGAAAATGTCTTCGCCTGAAGAAAGAAATTAATACAAACGCCATCGCTAAGTACTAGCAAGCTGCAATATGTTTTGGTGTGGAGACACTTTAATGTCTGCCTCTCCCTCCTACATGCCAATTAGAAATGCAGTATGCAGTTTAACTAGTACTTTTTTTTTTTTCTCAGATTCATGTACAATTCAGATGGACCTAGAAATAATTCAGTCATGCAACATGTCTCATTGTATGTCAATTATCCATCTTATATGATAGGTCCGTAATCATGGTTGTAGCAAAATCATGGACAATGGTGAAGCATTTTGATGGGGGACCAAAACCTGAGGATTTTAAGCTGGTTGAAGAGGAGCTGCCAGCACTCAAAGATGGAGGTAAGGGACTTATAATATGCGTATAATCTCTGATTTTATAAATTATACTGTCAGCTGTAACCATTGCCTGTAACTATATGCAAAATAAAAACGATTGTTACATTAAGGTCCCCTAAATGCCATAATAAATTTAAAAAATAAATGGTCACCCTGTGGCACATGCATGTTTTATGCAGCCCCCAAAACTGAGAGGCTCTGATAATTGAATTTTTACCTCTAAATCCCTATTAGCCACTCGGCTTTACCATCATTTTTCAAGAACCAGTGGGGAGTTTATGGAGCAATGTGGTTCCAGGGCTCCTGGTGCACTAGATAAGCTGTGTATATAAATGCTCATGTGTGGGCTGTATGGTTGCTAGATGTAGCCAAGGAGTATATGCATTTCTTATGATCCTCAGAGCCATCTAGTGGCCATACACTACAGCGAATCTTGTTTGGTCAGCAAGTGGTTTATAAAACAGCCCCATAGTGTTGCATTATCGTTTATAATGTGCTATTCAATTTGAATGGTCTGGCAGTGTACCTTTACACACAATAACGCACCTACAGCACTTTTGGTGACAATGTGCATCATGGCACATGTGCGTTATGGACTGTACTACTTCTGTATTGGCAGCTACTATACAAGTGCACAGGGACCATTCTAAATGAATTTTACCACAGTGTAAATCTAGCGCTCTAAGGCTTCCTCTTAAAAAAGGACTTCAGCCATAACATTATGACCACTGAGAGGGGAAGTGTATAACATTGATTTATCTTGTTACAGTGGTACCTGGAGGTGGGTGGTACATATTTGGCAGCAGGTGAACATTTTATTACTAAAGTTGATGTGTTGGAAGCAGAAAAAATGGGCAAGCTTTTGGATTTGAGCGATTTTTGTTTTTTTTGGTTTTTTGTTTTGTGTTTTTTTTGTTTTTGTTTTGAGAGCCAAATTGTGATGGCTACATGACTGGGTAAGAGCAAATGCAAAACTGCAGCTATTGTGGGATGTCTGCAGTGGTCAGGGCCAACCATAAGTGGTCCAAGGAAGGAAAACCAGTGAAGTGGTGACAGGGTCCTGGATTGCGAAGGCTCATTGATGCACATAGGCAACAAAGGCTGGCCTGTGTAGTCCTAGCCAATAGAAGAGTTACTGTAGTTCAAATTGCTGAAAGTGAACGTTGGTTCTAACAGAGGTGCCTGAACAGAGTGCATCCCAGTTTGTTGGGTTTGGGGCTACGTAGCCTCAGACCAGTCAGGGTGGCCATGCTGATCCATGTCCATCGTCAAAAGCAGCCACAATGGAAGAAGGTGGCCTGGTCTGATAATCATGTTTGTGTCCCTTACCTGGGGAAGAGATGGCACCAGGATGCACCAAGAAGACGGCAAGACGGCGGAGGCAGTGTGATGCTTTGGGCAATGTTCTGCTGGAAAATCTCAGGTCCTGTCATTCATGTGGATGTTATTTTGACATGTACCACCTCCCTAAACATTGTTGCCTTCCAATTACATCCCTTCATGGAAACTGTATCCCCTGATGGCAGGGGCCTCTTTCAGCAGGATAATGCGACTGTCACACTGCAAAAATGGGTTTAAGAATGGTTTGAGGAACACAACAGGGTATATGCAGGAAAAATAAGTCTGGTCCATGGAGGCCCCACCTCGCAACATACAGTAGTTGATGGATCTGCTACTGACTGCTTGGCACTAGATACCACAGGATACCTTTTTAGAGGTCTAGTAGAGTTCATGCCTCAATGGGTCAGGGATGTTTTGGTGGCAAAAGGGGGACCTACTTAATCTTAGGTGGGTGGTCATAATATTATGGCTGATCGGTGTATACACTGTCTAATTCCATTGGTCCCAGCTTGACACAATGTAATAATGCTACAGCGTATTAGTGACTTCCAGGTCCCTGCCACAGACGGCATGCTGAGCAACTTCGTTGTGCTGTCACTCACTGACTATAGTGGCCATTCAGAGGACACCTGGTATTCATTGAGAAATACTAGGCGTCCTTTGAATGGCCGCTATACTCGGCAGGGAATGGGAAGATGCTGTAATGGCTACTACACTGTATTCCAGGACCCCCCTGCCCCAAACTTGACTGTGATGTACATTCTAAAATTCAGTTGAAGCCAATAATTGCTAAGCTTTGTTAATTTAATTTGTTCGCGTTGTGTATTTTTTTTTTTTTTTTAATTGGTATTTGACAGACTTTTTTTGTTTTTCTTTTAACTTTAGAATTGTTGTTGGAATCAGAGTTTTTGAGTGTGGACCCATACATGAGGTAAATTTTATATTTACTGAAAATTGTTTCAATTATCAAAATTCATAAGAATGACCTAGGTATGTCAGGAAGATGTACATCAGATATTTTATAATTGGGTAGCCATGCTGCATTAGAAATGGAAGGTGATGTACCGTTGAATATATGCCAGAGAACTGTATTCACAACTGCTTTATTTGCATTTTACATGTACTAAACCTTTTAAATGGGGGCTGTAACCTCTAGCAAGTTTCCGAAGCCGTATGCTATTGCATGGACCTCCCAGCATATGGTGTATTCTCAGCAAAAATAGTATTCAAGTTTTGCTAGAATGGGGTTGGTTAGAACCACTGTAGGGTCTTTTTGGTGTCTGAGGGCCTCAGGGATCACTTAATGTGATTGCACCTTTCTGCTCCTGCACCTTTCTGCTCCCTCACCTCTCTATTGGCCCTTAAAGTGCATGTTACCCCAAAAATTGTGTGTCTATACATATAATAGATATTTTTTTAAATCTAGCTTCTTCCTCATCCTCCCTTGGGTTTTTGTTTCAAACTGGCCACACCAACAGGGAAGCAGATCACGGAACAGTTTGCATCCCTTGGATTGCTGCTGGAAGGTACAGGTTGCTGTGCTAATGCACATTGTGCCTGTATCTCCTGCGGTCAGTTTTGTGGTCCTACTCCTACCCAGCTGTAAGTTGACATGGGTTTCTAGCTGTAGTATCTCTGTCAAAATGTGTGTGTCCACACCACTGGCTGTGTGATTAGGAGACCACCAGCCTGCAGTTACATAATCCCACCTACTATATGTGATGAAAGCCAGCTTATTTACACACAGAGCTGGGAAGTTTGTTCTAAATGTTGTTTTTTTGTGTTTAGATGGAAGCACTGAGATCTTGAGGCATGCTGACTGAAGTTTTACTTTCATAGAAGAAAGTTGTATAAATGTATGTAGGAACACAGCATTGTGCAGGAAACCTATAGATAGGAAAACTTCCTATGTAGCATAGATAAGCATGCATATAGAGAGACTAACATTGCACTACACTGCCATCTACAGCTCAAAAGACATATTGCAGTCAGTAATACAATAAGTACAAATCAGAATATGTTGCTAAATTTCTAACACTAAACAGATCACACCCTTTTATGGTGAAGAGTGATGTGAATAATCCCCCCCCCCCCTTTTTTTATGGGGTGTTTTTGACTTATGTAATATTTGATGTAGTACAATGGTGGTTTTCACTGTGTTCACAAATGCTTTAAGGTCACCCATTACATTGAGGACAGTGGAACAGGGTGGGAAGACTAAAGCATGACATAACAGATCTGGTTGTTGTTTTGCTTTATGACGCAGACACATTTTGAAGGATTCTTGATGTGCACTTCAGCATAACTCTTGCACCATATTTTGTGAATAGAGCTTTAATTTACAGTGTCTGAGCCCACTTGTAGGGTCAGACTGCATCTGTAATGATGCCACACTTTATCAGTGCAGGGCGAAAGTAGGAAAACCTACACAAATCCCTGCTTCTCAAATGATGCCAAGCAGAAGCTTTCTAACCTACAATACTATAAGGTGAAGAACCTGTCATCAATACCCAGCCTTTCACACACAGGTCTCTGACATCACTTTGTGTTAACTTGAGGTCTGCTTTGCCTTCTTGGCTCAACAGGTTCACCTGTATAGGACATGTTATAAGGGAGGAAAACGACTTCCGGTTCCGGCGCCCACCACATCGGCTGCACATGTAACGTGCTCCGGCTACACCGGACCACCACGAACATATAAAATCTATTAATTCCAATCGAGCTTCTCTACTGACTTACTCCGTTCTGAGCACCAGATGGATGTTTGTTGCCCGAACTGGCGATCGATCTCGATCGCAACGCCGGAGGAGTGAGAAAGGCGCCATCGGGCCTAACTGGGCCTCCACATCCCCCTCATCCATGGCGGGATCCGGATCAAAGGAAGATACTGCTACAAACCCTTCTTCCATGGCTGTGGCTAGACTCCTCAGACCTACCATACAAGAAGCGGTGGATGCAGCCGTCTCTAAAGGAATACAGGCCCTGCGCCACAATATCATCGCCCAAACACAACGTCTAACGGAAGCGGAGTCTCGGATCACGCTGTTAGAAGACGAGCTGGCCAGGGCCCACACAAATATAAAGGAGACGGTGAAAACCCAAAGGTACTTACTGGAGAAGGTAGATGACCTTGAAAATCGGTCAAGGCGTAATAACCTGCGCATAGTCGGCATTCCGGAAACCTATCCTCCTGCGGCATTGACGGATCTCTGTTCCCACACTATTCCCTCTGACCTGGGCATTTCCACTCCTTGCGTAGTGGAAAGAGCACATCGCCTCGGCACACAGAAACCGGATGCATCGCGCCCACGCCCGGTCCTCGTAAAATATCTCAACTACGCTGTTGAGACTAACATTCTCCGAGCTTCCCGTGCCAACTTCGACCTCCGGGTGGATGGGCATAAGATTTTAATATTTGCAGACTACTCGGCGGAGGTTTGGAGAAAACGGAAGGCCTTTGCGGAGGTATGCAAGACGCACTACCAAAGAGGCATCAGGTTTTCCTTGGCCTATCCTGCTACACTTCATCTTCAGTCCCCAGAGGGGGAGAAGCTCATATTTACTAGCCCTCACGAGGCCCACAAGTATTTGGACTCCCACCTCCAGAATCTCTCCAGCAATGAGCAACGCTCTCAAACCAGCGGGAAGAGAATGAGGGTATTCCCTCCATCCCCAAACAAGCCTGACCGTGAGACAAGCCGCAAACCCCTTCCCACTTGAGAGACCTATGGAACGCGATGCTGAAATCTAGGCGATCCCTCTATCAAGGAGAGCATCGTCTTCTCGTAGTTCCTTAGTCGTTCTGGGAACCTCCACAGATGGGACACTCTAGTGGCTCTACCAATTGTGTCCTTTTTTTTGTTCTTTTTTTAACCTCTTGCCGTCCGCCCGTAGTAAAAAAACGGACGGACGGCACTGCAGCATCTGCGGGTTGCCGTCTCCAGACGGCAATTTTTTTCTGCTCGCGCGCGCCCCCTAGCGGGCACGCACGGGCAGAAAAGACCCGTCCAATGCGAACACCCGGTACCAGGTGTTTCACATATAGGCCGATCGCCTATATATGCTCGTTCGCGAGCATGACGGAATAAATGTCAGTTAAAGTACCGCAGCGCTGAATACTGAAAAATGGCCTGGATGGGAAGGGGGTTTAACACCGCGGATGTCAACTGGTTAAAGCTCAGGTTTATGTCCAGTTTGCATTATTGACTATTAAGAGCTCTTTAACTTTCCCATAGGTTTGGGATAAGAAGGACATGACTTACACCTTCACTTCTCCTATGGAGCAGCGCACAATATGTTTTGTTTGCAAACAGAGTTAAGGGGATGCAACAAAGTAATAGATCAGTGGTTAGATGGTCCCCTGTTTAGCAAGGCAGGTGAATTGTGCTAGTAGTGGTGGGGAAAAAAGGAAGTCACTAATGTTATTTACCAGGATATCCACCGAGTTTGCCTTTCCTGGGTTCACCCACTGTTATACAATGTTCTATTATTATCTAATGTTTTTCTGTTCATTCTTTTTAGCCTCCTCTCAACCCGGCAGCCTGTTCTCAAACGAATCTTCAGAAGAGCTTTCCTCTCCTCATGGCCTCTCCGCTCAGTCCCCACAACCGGTACATCACTACACAGGTAAATCGCGTAAAGTTAAGAGACAAATACTTTCGATGACACATCTTTTGTATAATACGTAAATGTAATCCTTAATGCAATTCAGAGTGATTTCCTGGAATGTAAAAGGCCTCCGATCCCCACGTAAGAGATCAAAGTCCTACGACATCTATTTAAACTCAGAGTCGACATAGCAATGCTTCAGGAGACCCACCTATCCCTGGCGGACCTCCCTCGTCTCAAAACATTTTGGGTAGGAGATGTCATAGGCTCACCCTCAGACGGCAGAAAAGCGGGGGTGGCGGTTCTACTGAGAAAAACCCTATCCTTCCAAATCATTGACTCGTCTGTTGACACGGAAGGACGTAGAATTAGAATACATCTTGGACTCTATAATACGGACTATGTGCTCTACAATATATATGCCCCTAATTCCCCTACCAAAGCATTCTTCCAGGAAATCACTCATTTGGTGGCTCACGAGCAAACTGACAACATTATTCTAGGAGGGGACATGAATTCAGTAATGTCTACACTGGAAGATAGACAATCGGCAAACCGTAGAGATAGACCTACCTCTCAGACAACCCAGTCTACCCTGACATTTCTCCATGATACACTGTCTCTACATGATGTGTGGAGACTGCGCAATCCAGAAGGGAGAGAACATACTTATTGTTCCATGGTTCATGATTCGTTCTCCCGTATAGATTACCTTTTTTGTTCAACCACCTTACTCCCGGTAGTCACAAATGCCAGTATCCATGATATAGTAGTGTCTGATCACGCTTCTATTGAACTGGTAGTACGCACCACACTCCCCAAAGGATCTGCAACACTGTGGAGATTCCCCTCTCGTCTCAAAGACGTTTCCTTCAGGGAAGTTGCAAAGATGGGTTGGAGAGACTACGTCGACACCAATTTAAACTCTGTTTCCTCACCAATATTGTTTTGGTAAGCTGGAAAAGCTTTCTTACGAGGGAAAGTCATGACCTACGTCCATGGTAAAACTAAGAAAGTAACAGCTGAATACCATAGAGCAAGTGGGGTGTTGAGATAAGCCTATGCGGAATATAAGACCCGTCCCTCTACCTTGTCCAAATCTGCTTGGACTAAGGCGAGGGGTGAATAGGAAAGCCAGGCTGGATAAATTCGAACTATACACTAAATCCCTATGGGACCTACAATTTCATAAGTTCGGAAATAAATGTGGTAAAATGCTTGCCAACCTCACCAGGGGACACAAGCCTTTGACACAAATATATTCCCTCTTAGACAAACATGACCTTAAAGTTGAAGACCCCGAACAAATCCAATGCAATATTGGGAGACTACTACCGCTCCCTCTACAGCACAGACGCTCGACCTACATCAAATATGACCACCTATCTTGATTCTATACCCCTTCCTGAGATTGAAAAATCTCAACTGGAAGAACTTAATGCAGAGATTACTCAGGAAGAAGTAGTGACCACTATCTCCAACCTAGCTAACTGTAAGGCTCCTGGGCCAGATGGCTACACGGCCGAATTCTTTAAACTTTTAAAGGAGGATATCGCCCCAACGCTCACCTCAATGTACTCCTTTATGTGGAAAGAGGGCCTATACCTTCCCACGGGCAATGAAGCCTATATCAAAGTTATACCGAAACCCCTCAAAGATCCCATGCTACCAGGCTCCTATAGGCCAATTTCACTAATTAACCTGGACGCGAAAATGTTATCAAAATTGTTGGCTGAACGTTTAGCGACCATTTTACCCACCTTCATCCATCCGACGCAAGTTGGCTTTACCAAGGGAAGGTCGGCGGTCATGAACATCCATAAAGTCCTAGCCGTTCTTGAAAAATCTTTCAGCTCCCCGGGACCGGGTAATGCGATTTATTACTGTTGACGCGGAAAAAGCCTTTGACAATGTCACACGACTGGCTATTCAGTTCTTGAACGGTTGGGATTCTCGGGTCTGTTTGTCTCCTTCCTTAAAGCCATGTATCAATCCCCAACAGCAAGGGTGCATACGGCAGGTTTCCTCTCCCCACAAATTCCACTGATGAAAGGCACTAGACAGGGGTGCCCACTCTCCCGGCAGCGGCAGTGTGGCTTCTACATATTTTTGGCCAAAAGTTTGTGCAACTAAAACCTCTGATTTTAACGCATACTGTTGACAGGGCTACTTGTTTGGTTGCAGGCTGGCTGGCAGGTTGAGGCTGGGGAATTTTTGTGTTTTTTTTTATTGTTGTAAGCCTTCCCAATGTGCGCCCTGCTATAAAGGCTGGTTATAGATACATGCATGTACCATTTTTTTTTTTCTAGTGCCCACTCTCCCCCCTGCTATTTAATATAGCCATAGAACCACTATCGAGATTAGTGTTACTCTCCAAAGACATCCAGGGCATTCATATTGAGAGGAAGTGAAATCTGCTTTATTTGCAGATCTCCTCATTTTCACTTCTAAAGCCAAGGAAGATATTCCCAACATTCAATCGCTCCTTCACACCTTTGAACAAGTGTCGGGATATAAAATTAATGTCGACAAGAGTGAGATCCTTAGGCTGCCTCAATCTTCTCTTTTCCCAATCCGATTGTGGTGGGTTTCAAATAGCTAGGACTTATATAACCTATCTGGGCATAAAAATAGGCAACCTTCCCTCTAGCATCTATTCCCTTAACTATCCCCCACTATTAACCAAGCTTTCCACACAATTGACGCAATGGTCGTCTCTTCCTTTATCCCTATTTGGCAGGAGCCATTTAATAAAAATGATGAGCTTCCCTAAACTACTATATCCACTCCAAACTATTCCGATACTCTTAAAACATAAGGATGTTAAATTCCTTGAAAAAGCCTATACTAAATTTCTATGGAGAGCGAAACGCCCCTGCATCGCTCTACGACAACTATTCTCTCCCAAATCTGAAGGAGGCTTGGGACTTCCTAATATCCGTGCATACAATTTAGCGTGCTTGCTCAGACACTCCTTTGACTGGATCACTGGCTCATCTCGCTATTCCAACCTGGTACTGGAACAGGAACTAGCTACCCCGTGGTCACTGGCTGCAATCCTACACACTAGAGTCTCCAAACTTCCCCGCCATTTAAAAAACAACCTAATTATAAGAGACACAGTGGTGGCCTGGAGAGAATCCAGATTGAAGTTAGACTCTCACCCATACATCTCTCAATATTTGCCTATTGGGGGTAACCCTCAGTTCCTTCCGGGACAGGAACACGCAGCCTTCCGAGACTGGCAAGACAAAGGTATCAAGAATCTGATTAGCCTTTTTGACAAGGATTCACAGACACCACACTCCTTCTCCTCCCTTTGTGCACGTTACCAGATCTCCAGAACACATTTTATACATTTTTACCAACTGACTCATTACTGGAAGAGTGAAAAAAGAGCCCCTCCTATATACTTAAGACCAATGTCTTAGACCCCCTACTCCTTTCCAACAACTACTCCTATTTCTGAGATCTATCCCCGTCTTAACTCCGCTTTCCTCCTACAACCTTCAAGGTTCTCTGTCCTGAAATGGAGCAAGACATTCCCGATAGAGGACTTATACGAGAAACTGCTCCAAGGGTATCAGAATGTGAGACTATGCACATTAAATAAGCTTTGGCGGGAGACATAATTCCGCATATTGCATAAAGCATACTATGGCTTTGATTTCTTCTTTAAAATCAAAGCTCCGACACCTTATTTGCAAGCGTGCCCAAAATGTGATCTCCTGGGAGCTGATTTGATCCATTGCCTCTGGGATTGTAAAGGTATATATGCATACTGGACTGAGATTGTCACCCTCCTTGCTAACATCATGGAGATACCAGTCCCACAGGATCCTTGGTTGTGCTTATTTAGTTACTGGGACTCGCCTCCCACCCTCAGGATAGACCATAAGATGTGACTGTTTACCTGTCTCTTATTAGCTAGGAGACTGCTGATGAAATTTTGGTTAAATCCTAGCCCACCTCCCTTGAAAATATTTGTGGAAACGGTCACCACATTTATGTGGCAAGAACGTTTAGAAGCAATATTGGACATGGACCGATATACCACCAAATTTTTTACTAGATGGAGTCCCTTTCTCCTCTTTCAACTGCAAGATGCGGAACTGGTTCGTCCCTTTTAGATACACTACCTGGTATCTGGAGGGGGCACTCCCAGGGTTCTTTAGGAAAATTTGCCCTTACGGAATAACTGACAGGGGTATCAAGGGAGATGGGCTGGAGCAAGGGAGATATCCCTGTAATCAGTCTCTTAGGTAGGACAACACGTGTGAGTACCTTGCTGTTCCACATTTTGAGATGTCTAGATGCGGGATGCTGGGGAGAGGCCGCGAGGATGAAATGGGGAAGCTACTGGATGAGTTCTACGAGAAAAGGCTGAAAAGGTTGGTGAGTTCTGAGCTGCAACTTCGTTAATATTTTAGCTATGTCTTCAATACGCTAAATAGCCTTGTCTTTTTATTTTTTATTCATTAGCATTTTCTGCTCTATTGCTGACTCGGTAAGCAGAAAGATATGCCCTGCTGTCTAGATATAGAAGGTAAATAGGAATGCAACATAATCGATAGGGGGAGGTAGAAGATGACCTACATAATAGCGTCTGACTTGTTCCTCCAAAAGTCCCATATCAAATTGAAGATAAGTTGACCTCTTTCTGCTGAATCCTTTGTGATTGAACCTTATGTTGGGATTCGTGACATTTGATTGGGTCTCTCTCACTTTTACATTAATTTTCAATTTCATTTTCAAGTCCATTTTTACATTATATGTATAGGCACTAGGACAGAGAAGGTTTACATATTGTCAGATTCTTCCGCTTGTTAGAAGGTTCGATGCATGTAGATCACACGCGACTTGGTGAACAAACCATGGGAAACAAAATAAAAAAAAAAACACAAAACAAATGCATGGATTGTACTTTATTCTTTTTGATCATACTATCATCTCCACATTGGGACCCAATGAGGTATCAAAGGAGTATCTAAGCAATAGACCCTCTAGGGGAAGGAAGGCTTCTCTGGGGAGAGTAGCATTTGTTTGACTGTTGCTAAGAACTGAATCCATTCCTGCTCATTGCCAAGTTGTCATTTGGTGACCTGTGGAAATACCACCTGGGACCAGATTCTTCGCTCACCTCATTGGATTAGTCATTTTAGTGCTATTGATGTCATCTTTCAGTTATCACATAAATACAATTAAATATACATATACAATTAAACAAGTACAAGTAAATATACAATTAAATATTGTAATGAATATCCACCGTGCCTGCCTTCAGAACTATCTAATTGTGCCAGTAGATGAAGCCCTTGATTTATTTTCATTATCCCCTTTTAATATCCTGTTTACAGCAAAGTTTGCAAGTGCAAAAATGTTACTTCGCTGTGCCTAGTTAACAGAATCTGTACAAAGGCCACTGATTCATGTTATATAAGAAGCAGTTGCTTAGTATATCCCTGCTGTAGATGCATTTCTATTACCTTGTAAGGACTGGATAGCTCAGGACACAAAGTTCACAAGATAAATGGCATAGTGGAGCCACTGCTTGGAATACCATGTATACCAAGTATGAACTGAAAAAATACAAAGCAAAAAGGCAAATATTTTCATAATTAAAATATTCATAAAGGCAAAATATATTCATTTCTTTTGGTTTATTTTTTGTTGTAAAAAATGACTGCAATGATATTTATTTATTTTTTTTACTCTTGTATTCCATAGGCCATACAGTAGGCGAATTATGGAAGAAGGGGATGTTATGATAGGATCCCTGGTTGCCAGGTAAATAAAGTTTCACTCATAAGAGAAAAAATAATATATAATTTCATCTTTAAACTGAGTACAGGAAGTTGAGCCCTTTTTGTGCTATTACTTTTTGGACGACAGGGCCTGCTTTCCTTGCATAGCCCCTGTTTTTTTTTATTTTTGGTTACTCACAAACCACTTAACTTTTTTTAACATTTGAACAGGCAAACATTTAGCTCTTCAGCTTACAGCTAAAGGTGGTATACTTGAATAAAAACCCAAGGAAAATTTGCCTTTTCAAATATTTATTTAAATCAGCCCTTTACCTCCTGTCTCTAAAAACACCTCTGCATGCTGATATAAAATTCTTACATTCATTAGTATAGTGCTGGCCTCACTGATGCATCCTAGGAAGGCTTCATCACCCTTGCCTTCCTGGCTCTGTGAAATGTATGACCAAACAAAATGCCTTAAGTTGCACAAGGTTTGTGGATATGCTTGCATCAACTGCATGTTTTCAGCCCCCACACCCCCTACAACATTTCAATGGGATTCAAATTAGGGCTTTGCCTGTAGGATGAATTCTAAGAGTGTCATGCAACATAACGCAAACCCCAATGGTGATACAGGGGTGTCTACTGTAAACCATGAAACTGTATAAAATAATATTGACCCTCTGCCTAAAGTGTGTGTGTGTGTGTGTGTGTGTGTGTTACACTCGACAGATCCAAATATTACTGATTATGCAAGAGATGGCTAGAGATCTCATTACCTGCAGCTTGTTTCTGGGGAAACTGATGTATCTTGGGACTTTGCGATTCCTGACTGATTGTGAAATGCCACATGCAGCCAGCTGTCAAAGCTCATGGCATAGGAACTAGGATAGAAGTTGACTTCTTACATTTTTGTTAATATGTGCAACCATAATTCAGCTTTTATGTAAGGTGCAGTGTTGGTGTTTTTTCCAAGCAGGGTTCTTAAAAGGGTTGTTTTTCTTACCCTCTCCAACTTACAGGCTGTAGAGGAAATAAACTTGTCTCTGGGAATATTTATTATTTTATGCTTGGATATATAACAAAAATCCATATATATTATCTGTGCTGTAGCCATAACTAAAACCTTGTTTGAGGAATAATTTCATAAAAGCTGAATGTAATCATAACTGTAGCATTGGGTTTACATCCGGCATTTTAATTCCCAGCTTGTGGGAGTAGATCTTTACACATGATCTCTGTGTCAGTAAAATTTGCCACATACCAGTGATTGTCACATGAGGAAGTGGTGTGAGTCGCATGCTCTAAAAAAGGCTGAATGAAGTGGCAGGGAAGGTACAGAAAAAAATGTGAGCATGTGGTGTAGGGTAGCGTGGACCTACATTGGCTAAGCACAGGTTTGATTTAGGTATTGACTCATCTTCACACTGGTCCTATTGTGCCTCCCTTTTTTGTATGTATTCATCTCACTGTGCATTGTTTTTTGTGTTCTGTAGAGTAACGGAGAGTAAAAATCCTGAGTTCCCAGTGGGAGGATACTATGTTGCACAGGTTGGATGGAGAACACACTTCATATCTGATGGCAAAGGACTACGTGCAATACCCTCCAGCTGGCCTGAGTCTCTTCCTAAATCACTGGCACTTGGAGCTGTAGGCATGCCTGGGTGAGTTGTACAGACATCTCCAAAGTACGTTTTCAAATGCATTGTTTACATTTTCTTCATCATGAATACCACAACTACTTTGCCTGACTAAAGATCATATTGGAGACTTCTTGTTTTGGAGTGAAGGAGTCCAAAAAAAAAAATCCAAACCAAAAGGTAAAGAGGTCTTCTGTTGCGCTGAACTTACTACTGTGGAGGATAATATTCGGCTGTTTCAGTATAATCATAGGGTTAGGAAGTATGTCAATGCTGAAAAAAGCATGGGGAAAGAAATGGACAAAGGTGTGTTTTTAATATAGAGGATTGCCCATGCCTGGTTCTTCCTTGTTATGGTGTCTTTTGTGTCAGCTTCTGCTTCCTCTCTGGTAACAAGTATTCCTGCTTGGGGCACTTGCCAGGTAGATTGCCATTTAATGTTTTTTGGTACCTTGAAGAGCAATGGAGTATATTTTATAGCCACCTACACATAATTCTCAAACACTGTTTAGTACTGCAATGCATGAAACCGAATCCCACCACAGGATTAACAAGTACCCCCATATACATGCAGTAATAAAACTATACATGCAAGGCATTTTAAAACCTTGCTGCTGCTCTTTTACAGGTAACTCTTAACCCTTTGATTGCCAATGAAGTGTACCACATGAGTTAAAACCTGTTTGTCCTGAGCCTGTCTATAAATACTGAAACAATCTGATAGAAGTGATCTGACCGGCTCTTATGGTCACTAAAAGGGCAAGTGATATGTTATCGATCTACTTGACCGTTTTCAAAGAAAACCTCTAAAGCTTCTATCTAGACATTACCCTAATCCCCCCCCCCTTTCTCCTTGTCTAGAGCAGGTGCCAGCATAACAGAATTTTTTTAACTTGATTTCTGTAGCAAGAAAACTTTCATTATTCTGTGACATAAGCACCAGGCTTGTTGCATTCTTGTAGGGGGGGTGCGCAATCTGTGGTCGGGCTGTTCAGTCAAGGTAGTCTCATTGTTTGGCTGACGGTATTGGTGGGATTTCAGTGCAAGAGACACTGGAAACTGGAGTCCAAACAGGAAGTTAGGAGCAAAATAGATTCCTGGGAGATCAACTAGTATTTTTCTGCATTGCAAGGTTTGGGATAAATAATGCAGTAATGTACTAGTGTTTGGGTTTTGTTTTTTTTTCCGCCACCTGACATGCACTTTAAAGCTGCCATTTCTTAGCGCTATCTAAAAAATGGATGTCATGCTGCTTCTCCGACTTTAATACTTTTGTTGCCGGATCAGTTTTTATGCACATTCTAATCCACGTTTTAGGCCTAAAAATTACTTCAACCCCCAGAGTTGTATTTCCTGAAAGCGGAGACCCTGTAGAATAAAATGATGGAAGTTGCACATGTTATGTTGCATGATATTAATGCAACTCTTTATCAAACCCAAAATTTCAGAAAAAAAATACTTGTTAATTTTATTGCACAAAACCACAATATAACACAACGTTTATTTTATTTTTGTAAAATATAAAAGATTAGGTTGTGCTGAGTAAATAGATGCCCAACGTGCCAAGTTAAAAAAAAAAGTGTGAAGCGGTGAGGAAATATATAGCACCCCGAATTGTCCACAGGTGACGCTTTAGAAGCCTGTACAGGTCATCAAGTTGACCTTGAATATCAGATCTAGAATTATTGCTCTCGTTCTGGAGTACACGGTGCTATCTAACATGTGTGGCGCAATAAGCATACCAGACGCGTGTTTGTGTTAGTATGCACTAGTGTTAATTTCGTTGTCAAAACATTTTTGCTGCATGTTTTCAGTGATCAAAAGTAAGTTAAAGGGATGACAATACATTGCAATTTTCTCTACTGAAAAGGTAGTTGACCTAGATTAAAACAATTCAGATGACTAAGACTAAAATGGTGTTTTAGTCTTAGGGGGTTTTTCACGAAGGATCCAGCTGTAGCCTCGGCTTATTCCTCGGCCGCCAGAGCCCTTCGGTTCAATCGAACTGAAGGGCTGCTGTACGGGCTATTCACTCTAGGCCGTACAGCTGCTGAAGGCAGCTCAGCCGAGCTGAAGGCATATGCTTCGGCTCGACTGAGCCGAAGCGGTGCGAACGGCCTGCCGAAGGCCGGCAGTAAGCCCCGCAAATGACCGCTGGGCAGAGCCAGCCGTGATCTCACGGCTGGCTCCGCCCAGTTGTAATGACAGATCAGCGTCCCCAAATGACCTGGGGATACTGATCTGTCATTAAACAATAACTGGGCAGAGCCGGCTGTGACATCATGGCCAGCTCTGCCCAGTTGTTCATTGACCGGGACCTGCTAGACTAGCCAGCCAATTGGAAACAGTTGGGTGGAGCTTGCTGTCACTGCTAGCTCCACCCTATTTTTCTTTTTAAAAAAACATCTTTTTAATTTACTTTTTTTTAATTTGGATTTTAAAAATATCTTTCAACTTTGTTCGTTTTTTTTTTTTTTTCTATTCTGCTCGGTACCACGGAGGTACGGAGCAGAAGAGCCAAATGCCGCTCTGTGGCATTCGGCTATTCACTCACTGCCGTTCGGCCCCTATGAGAATAGGGGCGAGGGAGCTTCATCTCAGCCGATCCACATGTTGGATCGGATGAGTTGAAGTCCTTCTGCACTTCGGCTGACCAAAGTCCATCCGATGAAATCAGCCATACTGAGCCAAAAGTGAATGGCCGAACGTTGTTCGGCTCACTTCACTTCGGCTGGGTTATTCACTCGGCTGCCTTCAGCAACTTTATGAATAACCCCCTTTTAGTCTTTTGCCTAAAATGCCATTAAGTGCCATATTTTAGTCATCTGAATTGTTTTAGTCTAGTTTTGTTAAGTAAATCTCCAGTAGAGAAAATTGCAATGTATTTTCGTCCGTTTTAGTCCTATTTTTAACTTGGTTTTTAGTTTTCGTCACTGAGAACATGCAGTTGACATCCTATGACAAATGTTTCATTGAGGAAATTAACACTGGTATGCACATGTTTGGTGGAGGGAAGGGGGTTGTTTTAAATCTTTATTTTACTTAACTGCACTGTTTTTCACAAAGATCAGTGCAACAGCCAGGCAACTAGTGATTCCAAAAGCCAACATCACTTCTGTAGAGGTTTCCTCCTAACCAGAAGTTGTGGAATCTCTTTATCGATCTGTTAATCGCAGAGAACTGCAGACCTAATATCCAATGAGCAATAATCTTTTTCTAGTGTTGGTGTACTAAATTGTTTGAATTCTAATTGGCTGCTATGGCTAAGAGTAAATTACAGTAATATGTGAATAAATCAAGTCCCCTCAATAAATGTGCATTAATGTGTTCTTTTTTTCCTTTAATGAAACAGTCTAACTGCATACTTTGGCCTATTGGAAATCTGTAGTCCCAAGGAAGGAGATGTTGTTCTTGTTAACTGTGCTGCTGGTGCTGTTGGTTCTCTAGTGGGACAAATTGCAAAAATCAAAGTAAGCCCTTTTTTTTGTTTATTTGCACTATCCCAAAATGCTTCACCCACCAAATTTAGGTTGTCTTGAAGAAAAAATGGCCTGGCTTTGAGCTTTCTTTAAACATGCTACTTGCCTGCTTCTCTTGCTGGTCATATTCCATTCTGTAGCCAAAAACATGTTGGCAACTAGTATAGATTATTGAAACCCAGGAGACCTGTCTTTACCACTCGCTACTATAAACGTTACTCCCTTTCAACTTATTTTGCCTATCTGCACTGGTACTCAAAAAGTATCTGTGCATCCCTAATATATAAATATAAATATAAATATATATATATACACACACACTCCAAGCAAAAAAAGGCTAATTTTCTGTAGTTGCATTGCCCACATCCCGGTGTACCCCTAATTCTATGTTTATAGAATCCTGTAAGGCAGCCTTTTTTAATGTTTCTAACACAAAGGAACCCTTGAAATGTCTTTCAGGCCCAGGGAACCCCCACTAAATACTACAGCCCATGGCACATTAATGTTAACAGCACATTACAAATAATGTGGGGCAATGAAATCCAGACAGTAAAAAATTGTAGCCTCCTGTTGGTGGTCAGTGGGAAATATTACCCATTTTGCAGAAAGCTAAATAAATAATTGGTATCGGTGGTCACTTATCTGAGAGTCAGAAACCTTGTTCATTGCTCATGGAAATCTTAGTCCTCTTTGGAAGAACCCTAGGGTTTTATGGACCTGTTTGAGAGGCTGCTGTAGTAATGTGTGTGGGTGGTGTGTGTGTTTTTTTTTTTTTTTTTTTTTGTCTTTTTGGAGGTGAAACACGCCACGACA